GATAATTAAGCTGCTACTACCTGCTCTTGAAGGGATAAATTTACCTGGAATCTGGGTGAGGCAAGACTTTGAATTAAATGGGGTCCGATTCCCCCTTTAATCCAGGTGACTGTTTCAAAAGTTTTCAGTATGCTGCACTAGTGTAAAGCCAGCACCAGAATAACAATGAATAAAAGAGTTCCACTTTAATAAGTACAACAAAGTGATTAGTGAGAAATAAAATAGTTGAATTAAGATATAGAAATTCTAGATTTTCACACAAATCTAGGAATTACTAACCAGCAAAACTGACAAGCAAAACATTGTTGGGGGGTGGGGGAAAGTGAGCAAATATAAAACTATCCAACTGACCAAAGCAGCACTTAAAAAGAATACAGGTAGTCCTCAATTTACAACCTAGAAGACCTCCAAGATCCCTTCCAACTCTGATCTATTTCTTCCTTAATTTTACCTCTCCCAGTTCTCAGTTCAAAAATTCCAAAAGATTGCAGACTGGCTTTATGTATAATTCTCCAACTTCTGCCACACAAGTAGCCTATTTGAATCAATCATCCATAGACATGCTGTTTTCCCCTTCAGTAGGTATGTTTCAAGCAGAGGCTTGGCAACTGCTGTGGATGATTTAATCTGGATTCACACACTGGTTGGGATTTATAATTTAAATCACCACCCCCAGTTCTTGATTCTAAGAAACTTCTTCTGATAACTACAATACACATTTAAATCTAGAATATCTTGCGGTTAAAAACAAAAAGCCAATTCTATACAGCTGCCAAGAAATCATAATAAAGGTGCTAATTTAACATATTTTTAATAACAACATTGTTAAAATTGTTTTGGTCTCTGAACCAAAAGACAAAACGATTAAACATTTCGTTAACATTGCAAAGGATAACATCCTCCACTATATGTCTATGGAGATTTTCAGCCATCCAGGTCATGGTTGTCCCGAAGGTGCTTTTCCAAGGCAAGTGGTTTTTCCTTGAAGACATTTCACTTCCCATCCAACAACCTCTTCAGCTCTAAACGAATGGTGGAGAATGGAAGGGTTTATATTCCTTGCAGTCATCTGGTTATTAGCTCTCTTTCTGAGAGTCATTGAGGCCACTTGAAGGTTTACCTGTGCCCTCAGTGTCACCTAAATAGGGCAAATTGGTATGGGACTGTGGAATTTGGAACTGCTGAAAGGACTGTGTTGTAAATAGGAGAGAGTTTGTGTTCTATACCTCCCCCTCTGTTGAGAGAGGACTATTCATTCTTAATGTAGATTAAGGTTTTAAGGTTTTAATGGATTTGTATGCCGCCCAATCCCGAAGGACTCCGGGCGGCTTACATAAAAACAATTTTAAAAATATTAAAAGAATTTAAAATACAAAACAAGGCGAATTAAAACAAGGATACAACATGCACTCAATCTTAATGGGGCTGAAGTTCAGTCAAAGATCAGCAGCCCCAGGCCTGCCGGAACAGCCAGGTCTTAACAGACTTTCGGAAGGCCGAGAGAGTAGGGAGGGTCCGGATATCAGGGGGTAGATTGTTCTATAGGGTCGGGGCAGCTACAGAGAAGGCCCTCCCCCGAGGAGCCGCCAGATGACATTGTATAGTCGACGGCACCCGGAGAAGGCCCACCCTGTGAGATCTTATTGGGTGCTGGGAGGTATGTGGCAGGAGGCGATCACAGAGATATCCAGGTCCTAGGCCATGTAGGGCTTTAAAGGTAATAACCAGCACCTTGAAGCGTGTTCGGAGAAGCCAGTGCAGCTCACGGAGGATAGGTGTAACATGGGTGTATCTAGGTACACCCAAAATCGCTAACACAGCTGCTTTCTGGACCAATTGTAGTCTCCAAACATTTTTCAAGGGCAGCCTCATGTAGAGCGTGTTACAGTATTCGAGTCTTGAGGTGACGAGGGCGTAGATGGCCTCTTTGACCCCTCTTTCAAACCAGAAAGAGTGCTAACAGCCAGATGAATGCAAAGAATATAACCTTGCAGTCTCTTCTAAGCCTCTTCTAAGAGCCATGTTGGCATAGTGGTTAGAATGCAGTACTGCAGGGCTATCTCACTGCTCACTCCAGAAGTTCAATTTTGAGCGGCTCAAGGTTGACTCGGCCTTCCATCCTTCTGAGATGGGTAAAATGAGGACCCAGATTGTTGAGGGCAATAGGCTGACTCTGTAAACCGCTTAGATAAGGCTGTAAAGCACTGTGAAGTGGTATATAAGTCTAAGTGCTACTGCTATTGCTTCCATTCTCCACCACTCATTCAGAACTGAAGAAGATTCTTGGATGAAAAGTGAAATGTCTTCAAGCAAAGAACAAAGTGTAGTTGCCTTTTGAAAAAGCACTTTTGGGATCCTCCGCTACATTTAAAGGCAGCCAACCAGCTTAAGGGACAATACTTTGCCATCACCTCTTGGCATCTGCTGCCTGAAGCAATTACTACACTCTGCTTCATGCTAGGACATGAAGTTGAAATAAGCAATGGGCAAGAACAATTACCGACTAAATTGCTCAGCTTGAGCATCACAATGAGGAGAGCACAACAATTTTCAAGTTGAAGCTTTGGGGAACCATATTTGATTTAATCAAGAAAAATGATTTGATCCTGAATTGATTATTTGACTCAAATCATTGAATTCAACTGATTTCATTTTTAAAAGGCCAATAATTAAAGGCAGGACTTTTAATCATGAGGCTTTCAAAACAATCAATTGATTTTGGGGGCGTCCAATTCAATCCAAATTGGCAGTTAATTTGGAATTTCAATTAAACCATATTTGAACTGCATCTCCAAATCAAATATTTGCATAGTACTATTGTAAACAAAAAAACCCAAACATCTCAAATCTGGCTCAATGCCTAAATTTTGCTTTCCCTTTATTATTATTTTGTTTGAGAAATAGTGTCAAACAAAGTAGAGCCCAAAGCTTTATTAGCTACTGTATATTGTCAGGAATGTAAGAAGTTAATATACAGAATTTTAGAAACCAAATAAAGCAAAACTCTGGAACTCATTTATGAGATAATTCATTAAGCTAACTATCTAAGATTCTAAGTTTAATTACTATATTGCCTCACTCAAAACAGGACTAAAAGCTAATCATCTTTTTCTTCCTAATAAGATAGATCGTGACATCTTCTGCTTGTAATTCATGTATTAAGATACTTCATTTCTTTCCTAGCCTTAAACTCTGAGATCTCTTTTACATATAATACTATCAAAAGAAGCAAGCAAACAAACGTATTGTTCACCTCTTACCTAAATTGTCATCCCATCAAAAGTTATTGCAATAGCTGCTGTTGGGAAGTTACTAACTTAGTGTTAGTGTTCTACTTTTAGTAGTCTCACAATCTTTAAGGTAGAACAAACCCCCTTTTCAGTTATCCTAGTAACTGTTATGATAATAAAAAGCCGTCCTCATATAACATCTTTAATCCTATCTGGCAAAACCTAGCAGATACTTCACAATGCATGCTAAGCTTGATTTATATTTGGTTAGGTTTTTTGTGATTTGGTTTTGTAAACACAAACTATCCGGCACAAGCTATTGTGCAAATCCAGAATAGGGTTTAAATCAGTAATCAGGTAACAATGTTCTGTCAATACAGCCATAACACAGGTAGTTCTTGACTTATGACCACAATTAACCCCAACATCTGTTATTAAATGCAACAGTTATTGAGTGAGTTTTGCTCTATTTTATGACCTTTCTTGTGACAGTTGCTAAGTTAGTAACATGGTTGTAAAATGAATCTGTCTTCCCCATTAACTCTGCTTGTCAGAAGGTCATAAAAGGTGATCACATGATTCCGTGATACAGCAACTGTCATAAATATTAGCCAGTTGCCAAGTGTCCAAAATTAGTTCATGTGGCAATGTGGATGGTGCAATGGTCATAAGTGTGGAAAAACAGTCATAAGTCATTTTTAACTTTTTAACAAGCCATTGTAACTTTGAACAGTCACTGAATGAAACCTCTGTAAGTCAAAGACTATTTAGTCTTTTCCCTAATTCCCAATTAATGGCTGATCAGCTAAGATGCATGAAAAAATAAATAGGGTTCCTCCTTGTCCATAGCATACAATGACCACCACAGCAGGAATCCAAGTAGTCATCAACTTACAACCATAATTGAACCCAAAATTCCTGTTGCTGAATGAGACAGTTGTTAAGGGATTCTGCCCCATTTACAATCTTTCTTGCCACAGTTGTTAAGTGAACCACTGAAGTTGTTAAGTTAGTAACATGGTTGTAAAGTGAATCTGACTTCCCCATTGCCCTTGCTTGTCAGAAGGTCGTAAAAGGTGTTCACGGCACCCTGGGACACTGCCACCGTCATAAATATGAACCAGTTGCCATGTTACATGCCTTGACAGCAGCAAGAATTGTATTGGAAAAATGTGGAACTGCCCACAGAAGATGGTGTAATTTAAAAAAAAATTAGATTGTGCAGAAATGCATAGATTGACATTAAAAATAAAAACAGAAGAAGACACATAGTATTTTCAAACATGAGACCTGTTTTATAAATGGTTGGACGGTAGAGGTAGAAATTAGAAGTGGGAAGAGTATTATTGTATAAAAATAAGTTGATCCAGACAATACTGTGTTCACTAATGTATGTAATGTGAACATATATAAATAAACTGTTAAAAAAAAGTTGGAACCAGTGGCCAAGCATCTGAAATTTTGATCCCTTGGCCATGGAGACGCTGCAATGGTCATAAATGTGAAAAGTGATCATAATTCACTTCTTTCCATGACACTGTAACTCTTACAATGAACTATTGTAAGTCTGTATCTACCTGTATCTGCTATAGCACAGACAAAACAATAAATGTTTGCTAAAAACGGGCAACTGGCAATTTGACAGTTTTACGCACCTATTTTCAGTTCGCGTAGCAAAAAAAAAACGGGGAGTTATCTTTTCAGATTTTATGAGCCGTATTCATTTTGACCACCATAGGGGAATAAACTTGGATGTCACAAAGAACTTACCTGGATCGCTGATGAATTCATTCAAGGTTTCCCAAGTCCTCTCATCTGAAGCGAAGGTGCCGTTGATGGATTCGAACTCTGTATAGTCTCGGACACACTTGTTCCTGAGGTTACCCATGAACAGCTGGAGTCCTATGAGAGCGAAAACACTCAAGCAAAAAACGGTCAGGATCATCACATCTGCAAGTTTCCTAACTGACTGGATGAGGGCTCCAACGATGGTCTTCAAACCTAAGGAGACAACCATGAAGAGTTTAAGAGGCTAGCAGGTGAAAGCAGCCACCACATGAATCACACGTAGGGGTAGTCCTTGACTTACGACCAAAATTGAGCCCAAAACCTCTCTCGTTAAGCGAGGCAGTTCTTAAGTGAGCTTTGCCTCATTTTACGACCTCTCTCGCCACACTTGTTAAGTGAACCACGGCAGTTGTTAAGCTAATAACGTGGTTCTGGCTTCCCGGTTGACTTTGAAGGTTGCAAAAGGGGGGGGGGTGTCACATGACCTTGGGACACAGCAACGGTCGTAAGTGTGAACCAGTTGCCAAGCCTCTGAATTTTAATCTCATGACCAGGGGGATGCTGTATAGGTTGTAACTATGAAAAAAAGTCATATGTCACTTTCTTCAGTGGCTTTGTAACTTTGCACGGCCTCTAAAAGAACCGTTGTAAGTCAAGGACTACCTATACATGAATTAAAACTCAATTATAAGACATTGTTAAGAGATTTAAATTTAGTAGCTGGGACAATGGGGTTGTACAATGAGCCTGAACAAACGGTTACAATTGATTGATGGGAGAGGGCTGGCTCCTGCCTGAGGCAATCTGCGCTATGATTGGCTGCTGTGGGTGTGGAGGGGAGTTCCCACCTTTTCCCACCTTTTTTTCTTCTGTGGACTCTGCGATTTACCTTGTGATGCTCCTGTTTGCCTATCTTGTCCGCTGCATATATTGATGTAAAATATACTTATTTATATAAAACGACAAGCTTGTGTCAGCATCTCTGACTTCATTTGGACACTTGCTGTGCCATTCTCTGGCAGACACCCATCCCAAACATCTTCCACTTTCAAATCTACAATATAGATAGTAGGGCTGTGCAACATTTCAGATTCAATGGCAATACAGTGCCTCAAAGCGTGAGGGACACTCACATAGCACCTGTCTTCAATTCCCTCACCACTGTTTAAATTATTCACTGAGGCTGCAATTTTATTACTATTAGTCTTCTCATCATTCCTATCCCCCATCTCCTCCCACTTATGACTGCAGGACTGTAACTTTGTTGCTTGTATCCTTACAATTTATATTGATATTGATTGTTTCCTGATTGCTTATTTGTACCCTGTGGCTATCATTAAGTGTTATACCTTATGATTCTTGACGAATGTATCTTGTCCTTTTATGTACAATGAGATCATATTCGCCAAAGACAAATTCCTTGTGTGTCCAATCACACTTGGCCAATAAAGAATTCCATTCTATTCTATTCTTCTATTCTATTCTATTCTATTCTATTCTTTTGCACAGTTCCATTTTCCCCTATGACTGCACAAGAGCTAAAGAAATCCCCAATAAAACAATTCCCAAACACTATCACTACCAAAGAAAGATTTCAAGTGCCAACCCCAGGCAAAACATGTGGAAATTATAGCAATGGAAAACAGTATAACAAAAGTAAGTGTGGAATATCATAGCATGATGATTGACTGGCACTGTTTTTTTTTTAATTATTCTTCAAAGCAGCAACCCAAAGGTGCTTTTTCAAAAGGCAATTGTTGTTGTTTTTTTCCCCTTGAAGATGTTTCACTTCTCATCCAAGGTGCTTCTTCAGTTCTGAAGTCAGAAATGAAGAAGCTTCTTGGGTGAGAAGTGAAATGTCTTCAAGGAAAAACAAAGAAAGCCCAGTTGCCTTTTGAAAAAGCACCTTTGAAACAACCGTGGCCTGGATGACTAAGAATCTCCATAGGCTTTCAAAGGGGCCTTTTCCAACAGGCTGATTGTTAAAAGTAGTTTCTGCATATCTGCAAAAGCCACTTCCAAAGCTAAGGAACTAATTAAGATGGTCCAGCCCTACTTTAATGCTCTTCAGAACAAACTTGGTAGATTACTATGGTTTAACTTAGGTGAATTTCTTTGCTAAGGAAAGTCCACCGGCTTAGTGGCTATTTATATCTATTCAATTTTGCCTTGTATTCCTGATCTATTTCAAAGAAGATAAAAGATAAGAAAAGGACATTTTGGAATTCCTTTCTGATTTTTTTTCCCTCAGACAAATCCTAGAAACATGAAGATTTGCAATTCTGGATCGACAGAATTTCACAATTCTGAAGTTCAAGGTAAATACTAAATTTTTTATTTTACTTTTAATTGACTTTTAATTTTTTAACGTGGTCTTTTTATCTGTTTTTTTAAAGTGTGTGTGTGTGTGTGTGTGTGTATAATTCTTTGCTTCATTTACTTATTTATATTTCATATTTCTAAACCACCCATTTTCCTCAGAAGGGTGCTCTGGGGTGATATACAATATAATCAATAAATAAACAACATATAACATTAACATTAAAGGTCATTATTACTAAATATTATTAACCATTTTACACCACCCAGAATCACTTCTTAGGAGTGGGTATATACATTCAATAAATAAATAAACAAAAATTTTGGGGGAAAATAATTAACCTTTGAAGATACATGAGATAATGGTTCTGTGCAGTGCTTGTGAGAGAGAGATCCACAGTGAATTGATCTGGGCTGATCCAAGTCTGGCTATATGATGGAGAATGACATTGGTTCTGAAAGCCAAGGTTGATTTATCTAGCTATGGTTTTTTTTAAAATAATTCATTGCCATGCACAACTCTTATCTTCCTTAAAGTAGAGTTCAAATTGGGGAGAAAAATCTGATTTTCGGAAAAATTGTTGTGGAACATAAAGGGAGAAGATGAATAATGACAGAAATATGAAACCAGTTCATTGCAATTACACCATTTTGCTTGTACAATACAGGTAGTCCTCAGCTTACAACCACAATGAAGACCAAAATTACCATTACTAGGCAAGACAGTTGTTAAGTGAGTCATTTTATGACTTTTCTTGCCACAGTTGTTAAGTGAATCACTGCAGTTAAGTTAGTAATACGGTTGTTAAGTGAATGGCTTTCCCATTGACTTCTCTTGTCAGAAGCTCAAAAAAGATGATCACATAACTCCAGGACACTGCAATCGTCATAAATATGAACCAGTTGCTAAGCATCTGAATTTTGATCAGGTGATCATGGGGATACTGCAAAGGTCATAAGTATGAAAATCAGTCCTTAGTTACTTTTTTTCAGTGCCATTATAACTTATAACAGACCCCAAACGAATGGTTGTAAGTCAAGAGCTACCTATATTATCAATCCAATGTCTTATGCATTCCTTTGCAGCTCGTAGTAAATGAGCCCTTCACAATTTGGTTTCAACAAACGTTGACTCATGGTAACCTGGGAATTATAGACAATCATAGGAATTTTGAAAAACTATATTGTTTTGAGAATTACATTTTTCTATATGTAAGGTACATGCCATGCTTATGAGTTCTCCTCTTTCTCTGCAATTAGCCTGATTTCTCAAACAGCAGCTAAGCTTAATATACTTAATTCCTTAAAACTAAAAAGGAAAGGGGGAAAAAAAATCAACCGCCCCAAATGCTCATATAAAAAAGTGGGAAAATCCATGAAAACCTGTCACTAAAATAATGAGTAGGGCTCACAATCTGCTAAAAGAAGGGAAAAAAGCTATACGTGTCTTCCCAACCACTGAAAAAAACTGTCTTAAAGGATTTTTTTTTTCTTACAGAAGATCACAGCATTAAGGTCACCATAAAAAGCTGCCAGATCAGTTTTCTAATGAATTTTAATTGAACAGCATGAGAATAGAGATGCCAGTATACTTATTAAGTAAGAATCTTTTCTGATACAATTTCTAAAGTTATGACCAGTTGGGGATTTCTCCTGTTGCAATTGGTGAAACATGGGGTTCTCCAGCCTTGGCAGTCCCTTGCTATTTAACTTGTGGGATATGTAGTGCCAATAAAAAAAGAATATTTACAACTCATGGTTGAACTGAGGGGTCCTTGGTGTTCTCTGGGCTTCATTGTTTTCTTGCAGACATCTCATAACCCAACTAGGTAACATCATCAGTGCTAGAAGGGAGAAGGGTTTGCTCCCTGTTTATATATTGTCATTGTTGGTGGCAGTGTTTTTGGTGGATCCTTAATTAAACTGTTGTTTACTGTTAGCTTGTTTGTCTCCATTGGTAGTTCCTTGATTGGATATTGTTTACTTCTCTAATGTTAATCTTGGTATTAATCTCTGCTCACTTGAGTATTGAACGCTGGTGAGGTATTTTGGTCTTTTCCTTTTCACCTTTTTGATTGTCCCTTTTGAATGATGTGAAGATGTTGTTTGTTTCTGTGTGCCTATTGAAGACTGATTGACCTGAGTGCTGGTTTTCAGGAATTCTCTGGCATTTTTATGAATTTTTTAAAAAATAAGAGCCCTCCCTCCCTTCTAGCTATATGATGGTACTTAATTTGATAATGAAACATCTGCAAGAAGACCACCAAGTTCAGAGAGCACCAAGGATCCTTGGGTGCATGTAGTCTCCAGACTATCAAGTTTAGCGAATGAAAAAATGGGCAGATATGTGTAAAATTGATGCCATTTTATTTATTTCAAACATCGCCAAGATGGAAATAGAGAAAGATAAATTGGAACCTTTCTCAGCCTGCATTCTGGTCGGGTTTTTTTTAATTCACTCCAAATACTAGCAAGATAAATTTCCTATAGGCTAGGGAGGATCTCTAAACCACATGCAATTCATCCATTAACTTTGCTTGTACATCTGCTCCAGTTTCAGAGGACAGTAGGAGTAGCAGGATGCAAGAACTGATATTGGATTGTCCTTTTCAAGATCACACTCTTGTATCTAAGCTTGGAATAGAGAATCTGAAAAAACTGTATGTGCTAAGATGGCTGTAATGGAACCAGAGATTGGAGTAGAGACAGTGAAGCATCAATCTGCAATTGGTTGCCAACTATTAAACTACTGATTATTAGACTGAGCTTTGTCTCAGTTGAACCTCGCAAGAGCCAAGGTGGTGCAGTGGTTAAATGCAGCACTGCAGGCTACTGCTAGATCAGCAGTTCAGCGGTTCAAATCTCACCGGCTCAGGGTTGACTCAGCCTTCCAT